TTTTATTTTATCTGTTGATTAGGGCCGGAGGAAAGCATTGTTGGGTTGGTTACCTCCCTCCGTTTCCCTCCCACCCACCCCTTGCATGCATCCCGTTTCGGTACAGTGCCACGTCAGCAGTGCAGATCAGTTGTGCCACGTCAGCAGTGCCACGTCACAGTGCCAAGTCACAGTACCATGTCAGCAGTGCCACGTCACAGTACCACGTCAGCAGTGCCACGTCACAGTGCCAGATCAGCAGTGCCACGTCCGCAGTGCCAGATCAGCAGTGCCACGTCCGCAGTGCCAGGTCACATTGCCACGTCAGACATAGTGCCACGTAAGCAGTGCCACGTCAGACACAGTGCCACGTCAGCAGTGACGTTCAACACAGTGCCACGTCAGCAGTGCCACGTCAGCAGTACCACGTCAGACGCAGTGCCACATCAGCAGTGACACGTAAGCAGCATTGCCACGTCAGCAACATGACGGGCCTGCCAGGCCAATTGGCCAATGAGACCATTGCCGCCTACAAGCAGCGTTGCCTGGCTCAGATAGAGGCTGAGGAACAACGCCTGCTGGCAGTCGAGGCTGCCCGCATACAAGCTGAAGAGGCAGCAGCAGCAGAGAAACTGCGGTTACAGGCCGATGCAGAAGCAGATGCCCAGGCTCGCCGAAAGGAAGCCCAGGATCTGCTGCAGCGGCATGAAGCCAATAGCATCGACAGACTTAAGTACTGGCATTTTCAACCAAACGGCGACGACGCAACACCGGAAGAAAAGCACAAGGAGTTCCCCTCCAAACTCGTGACGCGGTTGTTGTATGCTTGCAACTACCAAAGGTCAGAGTTGGAGAGACAGCACCGGGACCTGACGCAACAACATCAGGAATTGGCGACGCTCCGCCGCACAGTGCAGAGCCACGAGGATGCAACTCGGGCACTCAATGCCCGATTGTTGGACCTGGAACAGGCTGTACCAGGACCAGCTGCTGGAGCTTCCAGCAGTGCACCCTCAAGTTGCCAACTGGAGGACCGCGTTGACCACGTAGTGGCAATGCTCGGCGACATCAGCACCTTCGCTGCGCCGACCACCACCATCAGCAGTCAGCTGCATTCATGGAAGACCGAGGTCCAGAAGCTGCAGTCGACGAACGCGGACGACAATCCGAAGATGTACAAGATGCCAACTTTCAACCTGGAGAGGTTCGACGACTACACGCAGCAGAATCCCGTCCTCTGGTGGGAAGCATTCACAACGCAACTCAGGATTCTGCCAGTAGCCAAGCATGCATACATCGGCGCCCTGTTCTTGAACTCAAAGGGTGGATGCCAGACCTGGTTGAGCCACCTGGCAACCTCCCATGGCGTCGACGTACCAGACTTGAAGGACGTAATCACATGGGAGGAACTAACACGGCTGTGGAAGAAGCGGTTCATCGTCGACGACGCGCCGACACTCGCCATCAACCGTTTGTTCACCATGTCACAGGGCAACATAGCAACACGGGACTGGCTCACGGAGTGGCAGAAGATTGCGGCTGTGCCCAATCTGAACCTACCATTCCAGCATCTACGCTGTGAGTTCTACAACAGGTCCTGTGCGCATTGAGCCAGGCTCTTGGTGATCGCGAGCAGTACTCAACCTTCGCGGAGATCATTGACAAAGCAAGGGAGATCATCAAGACCAACGGGTCAGCTGCACACGAGAAATCAACATGGCAGCCGACCTATGTGGAGAAGGCACGAACTGGTCCGCGACAGCAGCACTTCGCTGCAGTCCAGCAGGACAGTGGAGATAACCCAGCAGCCACTCCAGTATCAAGTGACGGAGATCAGGTGGC